TGACTTTGTAACAAGGTGTGGACTGAATGGCAGGGCTTAGACTCAAGGCCTGGAGAGGCAACCCTTCTCTCTACACTCAGACCTCGCCATCGAAGCAGGTACCAAGGGCATGCCTGCGTGTCTCACTTGCTGCCTCTCAGCTAACAGGCCTAGGGAGTATCACACTGTCCCCATGCTCCTGACAGGTAGGATGAGCATCTCTGGCTGATATGAGCAGAGATGTCCAGAGTGAGGTGTAGTGAGTTCAGAATCATGGTGTGGCTGCCATGCGTCACCCCAGGAGACCTACCGCAAGCTCGGAGAGGAGCTGCAGCTGTGTCCACTTCACAAGTAAGTAAGACTAGGAAAGGTTATATAATGGGCCAGAGAGCTATCTCATCAAGTTAGGGTGACTGGCAATGAGCCTGGTGTTCAGAGTTTACCCACACAGAAGAGGAACCACCCACACAGTTATCCTCTGACCTCCTCACAGGTGCTGCGGTGTACACACACCCACATACATACACACACAATGAAATGATATGTAATTCCCTCTTTAAAGAAAAGACATTTAGATGGATCATCATACAGCTCAGATGTAGCAGTATGGTGGGGGAGGTTCCACAGTCCCCAAGCTTGCCTGTATGCCTCCCTTCTCATTCCCTCTGGCCTTCCACAAATTCTGGACCTCCTACTTAGTTTTCCTGATCCTGCTGATCCATAGGCCATGCTTGAGCAATGCAGGAGGGTGCAAACTAGAACCCTAAGCCTTAGGCAGCCTGACCTGAGCCTGGCACACAGAAAGAGACGGTCACACCCAGTTCACTTCACGGAACTCAATAGAATCCAGTGCAGTGAGTTCCCACCTTCCTGTCATTTTCTCTATCCTGCAGAATCCTTGAAAAACAGTCCCAGGGATCCCTCCCCACTCCCAGCGATGTCGAGCTTGGGGTACCTGTGCATTCAGAAGTCCCAAATAACTCGGAGATAACTCTGGCACCCCCAGAGACTCCAGAGAAAAGCAGGGCCTTGCCTTCCTCCCCATCCCTGTGAAGGAGGCCATGCTCCCAGCCATTCCCAGCTCACCGCCTTCCAGCTCTCATCAAGGAACAAACACAAAGAGAGAATCTCTAAACATTTAGAAAACTCGGGAACCCTGTGCCCCCACACGGCACCATGGGGATTTATAGAGAACAAATCATGCCTGACAAACTTGATAGCTTTCTTGATAGAATTACAAGGCTAGTAGATGAAGGAAATGCAGGCAGGGTAATATATCTTGATTTTTAGCAAAGCATTTGATACAGCGCCTCGAGTAATCTTACAAAATTAATTCAAACAGACTTGGCCCTCAGCTCTTGTCGTGGGGCCTAAAGGCAGGAGGGGGCACGTCCCTAGAGTCCTGAGTAGAGGAGGCAAGGCCACGGGCAAGGGCTGGAAGGCAGAGTCTGGGAGTGGGGGCAGGGCTGCCCGGCCTGTGCCAGGCCAGATCTTATCTAACATCTTCATTAATGATCCTGAGAGAGGGAGTAAACAGTCCGTTAATGAAATTTGCAGAGGATATTAAATTGTGAGGTGTTGTGAACACCAATGAGGACAGCAAAGTGGTCCAGAGAGACCCAAGGCAAGAGACCCTGATAGCTGGCAGGGATGAGCTGCGGTGGGGGTGGGAGGCAGTTACCAAGATTCTTGGAGAGCCAGGGGTGGGGGAAGAGGCCCCCCCCCCAGGCTGCTATGCAGATGAGGGAGGTCACAGCTAGCTTAAGCTCTGGCCTGGCTGAGCAGGCAAACCCCAGGAATCTTATTTTCGGCATCTATAAAATAGAAGAGCCAGCAGATAACTCCCTTGCAGCTGAGAGAGCTGGTAGGGGTGGCTGGAGAGAGTTTACAGAATTTGAGGCAGAATTCTACCTTATAAGAGTGGACTCCTGCAAGAGGCCTGGGGAGAAGACTCTGCTTGTGTGTTGTTGCCAGTCTGAGTCTTCTTAATGCGTCACTGTCAGCCTGAGTCTTCCTAGCCCACGCTTCCCAACCCTCTATGCTCCTCAATGCTACTGGGGTTGGCATTGCTAAAATAAACCTCTCCCTGCCCCACCAGCTGGGCAATGGAGGCTCCAACCTAAGGACTGTGCTCTGGAGTCCTGATTCTCATAATCTGATGGGCCAGCCTTCCCAGGATTGGGGGACTGGGGCTGAGCCCTTCTCTCTGCCATAGGGCCCCCTTCTGCCTATATCTCTTCTGTCCTAGCCCCAAGGGGTTCAGCAACCAACCCTCCCTCAGGATGCTGAGGCAAAGCCATGTGGCCTTGAAGGACTTCTTCTTACAAGATTCCTGGGCAGGTAGAGTCTCAAATAAGAGCCAGGTTGCAGAGTACCAGGCTGAACAGTCCTAAATAAATCTCTATGGGATGAACTGAGTGGCGGACTCCCAGCAGGGGTGCCAAGGCTACAGAAGACCACTTTTCCCAAGCAGGCCAGTCCAGACAGATGCCAGACTGCCAGCTGGGATACAGGAGAGGGATACAGGTGAACCTCCTCCCTGTTAGATAAGTAACCATGACACTCTCCCAACACACATTGTGGTTTTGCTGTGTGCTCCACATTAATGAACTTGACTTCCAGGGGCCTATTAGGTGAGGATTCTTGCAACCCTCAGTTTACAAAGAAAGAAACTGAGGCATTGAGTCACCAGAAGCTTGGCAACCTACCCAGAAGATCCATGGAAGTGTCAGTTGCCTGCCTGTAAGTGGCCCCTGAGGGAGAGTCCCTTGTGTGTAGGTGGAGAGAAGCAGCCTCCCCTCAGAGGTCAGAACCTTCCTTGTACCTCTGTCTTTCCCACCAACGGGAGTTGGTCCAGCTCCATCACACTTGTGGAGCCTGATTTTACTATATGTTTCCCTCCCCCCTTCCAATGCCTCGCTACATCGAGTCCTCTGAACAAGTCTGTTTCCATGGAAACCATACAGTGACTCAGGGCTTCGGGACCTTCTCTGAACCAGATTATGACTATCAAATGCTCCCTCCTCACACCAATTCAGACTCCCAGTGTACAAGGATGGGGCACAGCAGATGGGCAAGAGGGGCTGGGAAGCACACAAACCAGGCCTCACTGAGAACCTGACACCTAGGGATCCTGCAGACTCAGTGGTCCCTCTTTCAGTGCAGCCTGACTTACTCCCTGCACTAGCACCCCCAATGCCACCCCTCTTTGGGGCCAGGGCCCTTGAGAGAGGGCAAAAACCTTGAATCAGAGCCTTCACTGAGCAGACGTAACATGGGGGCCAGAGTAGGAGGAAGTGGGCTAACTTAGGATGCTCAGAAGAAAACCATCAACCCAAAGCTTCACAGCCACTCAGCTAAGAGGGAAATCTGGATTTGGAGTCGGGGAGAGGGGTTCTGCTCTGAGATGAAGAAAGCAAGGTGTTAGGGGAAGGGGGGGGGCGTGATCTCAAAGCTCCAGCAATATTGGAAGGATAATCAGCAATAGCTTCCTCTCACTTGCACACCCCTCCTCACCCCACAGATACCTGGACTGCTGGTCTCGAGCCAACCCACCCACCAAGATCAGGGAGGACAACAAGCAATGAAAGTTTGCAGTGCTAGGCTCCTGCAGGGGTTCAAGACCCAAGGGCATATCCACCCCCTCCTTTCCTCAGCAGCTCCCTAAAGACCCAAGAGAGCGGGGAATAGACTAGGTTGGAAGCTTGATACCTCCCTGGTGAATCCAGAGTGTGAGTCATGACGATAGAAGCACTTTGAAAAAGAAACAGGGTCATCACGATGCCTAGAAGTGTGGCAGCTACCAGGGACTGGAGCCTGGGAACTGCCTGCCAGGTAAGATCTCTTTGTGAGACAGCCTGGCCCCATCTAAGGAGCTAAGGAACCCAGGAAAGTATCCCCCCTGGCCTGGAAAGTATCCCCCTGGCCTACGAGCCCATCTCTATTTGCCTCTTACATTCACTGGTTTCTTTGGTTTTCCCAAGCTGCTCCCGGCTCCCTGACCAGCCAAGGTGCTTGCCTCTTGCCACCATCATAGGTCTCTTCTGTCCCTAGGCTCCAGAAGACAGTGGGCTGAATTCCTGTCACTGTGTGGACATGCACCTCCCCTGTCCCCGTCTCAACCATTCAGCGGTCCACTATAACATCCTTGGTATCTGGACCCCAAAAGCCTCGGTGTCCAGAAGCCTCTTTCTTAAACGGTTGTTAAGCCCATCAGGAGGCGGGTACTAGGAATGTAAACCTGAAAAGGGGGCAGACCTGGAGTAAGGAGAGGTGACATGGTGAGGTACCTGAAATCAGGCCAAGGTGCCACCCTAGCAGGACTGTGAGGTCTTACCTACCTTCCTCAGATAACCTTTTAACCTATGGATTCCAGCTATGGCCACTGCCTATTGTTACTGTAAAGTCAAACACTATGTCCCTCCCTGGACCCTGAAAGAAGCTGACCACCTCATCTCCTACTCAGAGAGGAGCTAGGATTGTTTTGGCCTCGTGTGGGGAGCTCTGCACAGTCAGGCGGCCCCAGTCTCCTAAGGGCCCAGCCCATCACCAGCATAGCAGAAGCCAATACAAGACCAAGGCTAGAAGCAAGAAGCCGGGACAGCGCTTTGCCTCAGGGTGTAAGCCTGGTTTGGAAAGTTAGAGGAGACACGGGAACCTCAGGGTCTCTGGCAGCCTCGACCGCTCGCATCTAGCAGGCTGTTACATGATGAACCTGGAGCAGACACCCGAGAGCGTACCGCAGCAGAAAGGGAGCTCCGGGCTGACGTTTATCCCAAGTTTGCTTGCCCTCACCAGAGGAGGAGGTCAGGGGCGATCGAGGCGCTCCCGGGAGGGCTACCAGCCCCAGTCAGCCCCTCCCAGCGCCCAGCACTCGGCGGTCCCCCGCCAACGCCTCCGCGCACCGCCGGGAGACACCAGCCCAGAGCTAGGGGCGTCTCCCGCCGCGCCCGCGCCCCTCCCTGCTGCTGCGGTGCAGTCCGCTCCCGCCTGCCCCGGGGCCCGGGGGGCCCGGCCGATACCTGGTGGCGGGCGCGCCAAGAGCCGCTGCAGCGCCCAGCGCCGGCTCCATCCTGGGTCCGGAGTCAGGCTCGCCAGGGGGCCGCGGGTGGTGGTGGCGGCGGCATCCTCCTCCTCCCGCGCCCTGCTCCTCGGCCTCCCTCCTCCCAAGCCTCTTCCTCCGCCTCCGCGCGTCCCTTACGGGCCCCTCTCCATGGCCCGGGGGCTCTAGCCCCGGGTGGCTCGCACAGCACAGTGCCTTTTCCTGAGCAGAGAGAGAGCGTGATCGTGAGCTAGAGGGGCTCAGAGCCAGCCACCAGGACCCCGAGCACTGCAGCCCCAGGCTCCGGAGGACAGCAGCAGCCACGGAGGCCGGAGCCTCACGGAGTACCCTCCTCGCGTCCCCGAGCCGAAAGCGGCGGTGGCTGCTTCAGCGCGGAGCTAGCGGGTGGCAGGCGCTGCGGTCCCGGCTCCACCCCCAGCGCCGCCCGCCCCCTCTCCGCCCGACCCCGTCAGCGCGCGCCCTCCCGCCCCCCTGCGCAGCCCAGGCGGGGAGCTCCGGGACACCACCCCACTAGCAGGGCTCCGAAGCCCACCCACTGGAGGGCAGAGGCAGCCACGCCCACCCCTTAGTTGAGGACACCAAGCGGTAGCAGCACCGGTACCTCTTGGCCTGCCCTCTCCCCCACACCCCCACTAGTGAAGGCATGGCTATATCTATGCAGCCAAAGCCTCTGGATACCCAAGTCTGGCTACAGCCCCAGCCTGACCCTGACTCCTTTCCCCACCCAGGGCAACTAGAGACTCCCGAACCCAGAACTGAAGTTGATAGTCCACTACATATCCCTCCTCCCTGCTTTTCTTCCTTCACCCACAACTAAAAAAAATGTTTCACTTGCTCCAGATCCGTCATCCTTTTTCAGCAGGGGCTGGGTGGAGCTGGCCGGTTAGTCGGACACTAGAGTTCCTTTGCTAGAGGGAGCCTTCCACTCTGCCCAGTCCCTTCCCCCTAGGATACGTCTGTCTTCCCAGGTAGGAGCCAATCCACAAGCTGCACTTGTGGGATCAAAATAGCCACAAAGCCCTGACACTACACTGGTCCTTCGTTCTCTGCACTCATATTGACTGAGCATCTCCTGCATGTCATAAGCACCAAACACTAGCTAGTGACAAGAGAAACATCCCTGAACCCTCAGTGTGGCCTGGAGGAAAGACAAAGCAAGTCAGCAGAGGGATGCCTGTGGCCCCGAGCTGGAGAAGAGGGAAAACACACTTGTGCCATTGGCCAACAAGGCTTCCATACGCACAAACCCAGACTCCATCCTCACCTGAAGATGTGTACGTCCCCTGCAGGGCTCTGAACAGGAGATTGTCCAAAGGCAGTGGTAGACTTTGTCCAAAGTGGTAGCGATTGTCCAAAGGAGTGGGCTTCCATCTCCACTGGCTCTTAAGTCTCCAAGAACCTCTCATTTCCATACGGTCTGTCCATCCGTCGCTTCTAATACAGTACAGAGAACAATAGGGTTTTAAAATGGGGTTATGTTCACCTGGAGGTTCCCAGTGAAAAGGAACTTTTGTGGGTCTGCTGTGTGACCGCATGATGCAGCCTCTCTGTGCCTCAGTTTCCTCATGGAGGAAAATGGAGATGTTGTTTCTTACCTCCTAGGGCAACAACCACCATGTTAGATGTTTGTTGTGGGATAGATGTTTACTTGCTCACGAAGAAGGGGATAACAACGTCTAGGATTCTCTGGGAGACCCCCAGGGGCATGCCTTCAGAAAAGTCTCCACATGGAACCAGATGACATGAAGGCCCCTGCTCCAAAGTTCTCAGTAAGCCACATGGCCTTGGTTACTATTACCAACTCCTAGTTATAAACTCCTGTCCCCACCACCTCCTCAGAGAAGGCAGACATCACCTTTCCTGACATCCCTGAAGCAGCAGCTCCAGCTGCAGCTCTACCCAGGACCCCATCACCCCTGCAGCCAGAGCTATAGGACCAGTCCTCAGACCCAGAACCAAGGTGGCCATGAGGGTTCAGTCACTTACCCCAAGGTAAGTGGCTATGTTCTGAAAAAGGCCAAGGAGAGAAAGCTGGCCTTGCAAGAGCACTCCCAGTTTCAGACCCCTCCCATTTGTCCATGGACAGCCTGGCTCCCATCACCCCAGATGAGCCAGAACCATCTCTTTCACCTAGGTTAATCCTGGCCTGAATCTCAGCTACACCAGAATAGTCAGGGCTTAGAGGCTCCTCTATCCCCCACTCTCTGATCCCAAAAAGTCATTTTTCAAACTCTGCTGTATTTTGGATGGAAAGGATGGTGAGGTTAAAATGTAAAGAGGGAGTGGAATTGGGGAGAAATATATTTAAATTCTATAAATGGACAAATACCAGGTCTCCTGTGTACCATGATTCTGTTTCCAGCTACCTGGGATTGCCCCATATAACAAAAACATGTTTCTTAAGTGCCTACTGTGTGCAAGGCACTGTGGCAGGTGCTGTCAGGGAAAGGAGAAACAAAGGCTTTGTGCTCCGGAAGCTTGACTCCTACCCAGTGAAACAGCAAATAGTCACGGAAGGGGGTAGGGGAAGGGCTGGAGTGATGCTCCACTCCAGCTATAAGAAGAGCACATGCTGCTTTACAGAGGACTCTTCAGTTCTCAACACCTATGTCAAACAGCTCACAACTGCCTGTGGCTCCTGCTCCAGAAGGATCTGATGCCCTCTTCTGGCCTACACACACAGACACAGACATATGCACACATAGACATACTATAAAACAAAAAAGGGGGCTTTTGCTGTTTAAAAAAAAAACCTTTAGAAAGAATCACTGAAAATTTGAATTTTCCTAAGTGGCCTGGGAAGTCAGGGGAAGATAAAGCCTTGGAAGGTCATTCAGGAAGGGTTTCCTGGAGGAGAAGGAAACTCCAGAGCTATAGCTGTGGGATGGACAGGGCATACAAGGCAAAGGAGGAAACAGCAACCAGCCTGACTCTTTGAGAGTACGAAGGCTGCAGTAATGGCTGATGTGGGGCTCTCCCCCACTGAACCAGGCACTGAGCTGTTCACCTCATGGAGATTATTTTGTTGGAACCTCAAAAGTAGCCTGAGGTGGTAGGAATTGTCATTCTCTCTTTTAAGGACTAAGGATTCTTGTGATTTGCCCAATTTGCAGAACTGCTTAGCTACACAGTAGCCAAGCCAGGGCATCCCACTGGGGGCCACACTGGGCCACCCTGGCTCAAGGAAGTATCCTAAGGAGGGACAGGATGCCAGGTGAACCCGAGGGTGGAACTTTCAGAGCCCCCAAATATAGAAGCTTCCTTGAATAGAGCTCCTCGGTCTATTCAAATATTCAAGAATTCAAAACTAGGCATTTTCTCCTCTTTGGCAGCATTTTGGTCTCAGAGGCAATTGGAAATGTGTTAAGGGATTTGGGGGTTTGGCATTGTGGAGCTTTAATCTCTTTCAAGGGTCCATTCGGTGGCAGTCTGGGCCACCCTCCTTGTTATTTCAGTCGGTTCTGGGAGATTGATGGCCCAGGCTTTGCTTCAGGATGTGCAGCAGAGGTGCTCCAGTCCATGTCTCCCTGGGACACTGACAAGACTACAAGCTTGCAGAGGGCAACTCTCAGCAGTCTCTGGACTCCAGGCCCTTGAGAAAAAAGTTCTAACCAGACCGCCCTGAGCAGGTCAGGGAAAAGGACTCCTGCAAAGGAGGGTCACTCAGTGAGAGGGCTGCTGGAGAAGCTTGGGTCCAAAGAGGGCAAACAACTTACCCAAGGCCACACAGGAGATGCATTTAGCCTCACCTCGAGTCTAAGACTTCCTGAGAGAACGGGCTCATACTCTTCCTGCTTCTGCCTCCTTCTCCACTTCAGATGCATTCCTTTTCTGGATACATTGGAGGGAATGTCTCCATGGTTGGAAGGAAACACATATTTGAAACCTTACCTGTGACTGGATACTTGTTAGACCCTCAACATTACAGTGTGGAACTGTTCCCTCTGCTCCTCTGTGACCAGAGGTTGCCAGCCCTGGTGAGCTCATGGCTTCAACGGGACAGGCCATTGCTGAACACACTTGACTGAGCCCACAAAGTCCCCCAAATGAGGCTCCTTGAAAGCTGCCTCCCTGCTGTGCACACAGAACTGTGAATTCCTCAGAGGGACACTGTGCTGTTCCCAGACCAGTCGATCACCAGCCACCTCTACTAGCCATCTGTTGTGTTCTTTGCTCCTGCAGAGGACCTTGAAGGGTAGGTCTCCCTTCCCCCAAGATGCAGGAAAAGTACCATCTTCCCAGTACCCTGTGGCACAAAACGACAATACTACAATAGTCTCCAGTGACTTTCATGGCAAATAGCTTGTCCTGCTGGCAGCTGTAACCTCTAACTCCTGGTCTCAAATCCAGGCTAAGGGGCCCAGGACAAAAGTCCTTCTCCCTCTTGACTGTCTTGATCCTTCAAGCCACTCCAAAAGAAAGTCCCCTCCTTCCCAGTTACAGAACCAAGTCCCCCAGGGAGAAGAGAGGAAGCCACCAAATCCTGAAAGGGAGGGAACAGAGAAGCTAAAGGGTTTGCTCTGGTCAGGAGCCAGACCAAGACTTGAACAGCCTTCTTGTGACACACTTGTTACTGAACAGCTAGCTCCCAGCTCCACACCACCTACAGAGGCTCTTGGCTTCCCTGAGTCTGACGGGGAAAGGGAGGAAGAGCAATCTACACCGAGGATCAGGACAGAGCAGGCAGGCTCCAGGCTCCATCTTCCTTCCTTTGACCTCACGTGGTCCAGAAAACTCTTGCCAAGATAAGTGGTATCCAAGTCCCCTAAGTTCCCAAAGGAAGGAGAGGTTGGAGAAAGCCAAATGTCCACTTCCTTCTGAAGAATAAGCCTGCTCTGGCCATCCTTTGAGGAAAAGCCTTTCCCAGCCCACTCTGCTGGCCTTTGCCACCCTTAGCTCTGTGCCACGAATGAAGATTCAGAAGCCTGGCTAGGGACATGTGTGCTTTGGGACCCAGGACTTGCTTCTCAAGGTTTACTCCACAGCCTTCCTGCAGGGGGACTGGAACAATGGCCTCGGGCCTGGGTCCAACTTATTTAAGCAGGCTCACCACCACCACCGCCACCGCCACCACCACCACCACCACTGCCACCACCACCACCATTTATCTGGCACCAGAGCCAGCTCCTGGGAAACTGACCTCAGAGTCCTGAGGAGGCAAACACTCTGACCCAAGAAAGCAAGCTCTGTAGCCCTGAGCCCCTGTCCCTTACCTAATAACAAGATGATACTGGGATCATCTCATGGGCCCTGAGGTTAAGAGGGTAATGGAGGTCGGGGACAAATTAACAGGAGAGGAGGACTATGGACTAGAATTAAAATTCCTCTTCTGAGTGGTTCTCAGGCCTCTATGGGCTGTTTCTA